GAGAGAGAATTCTTATTGATTTGGGATGAATTACAATGGAATAGAACCCTCTATTTATAGGGAGATGGTGACTTAGCCACCAAGTAATAAACCCTAGAATCTCTCTAAATATAGACATTCACCATAAATAAAATTCTATTTATAACAGATTCAGTTTTATCCTAATAATATTGACATCCTTTCCCTCTCATCATTACATCATTATAGTAAAACTTTCCAAAATTCACCCCTTTGTAACGGCAACCCCCCTCCCTTTTTCGTTGCCACCTTGCATCTCCATTCTTACATATTAGAAATAAATTAAAATATTATTGTTTATTCTACTATATAAGAAGTGCGAGTGAAACAGGTGATGCAGGCAGCACTTCATTGACATGCCTGCTTTAGCTATAATATATTTGCCACTGTTTTTCTATATAATTACGTTGAATGCCATCGTACAATTTTATAAATAAATGGAACTTTTGACACATTTTCAAGGCCCAATTGTTAGGCCATGTTTAATCAAAATATTTGTTGCCCCCGCTTTTGTAACTTATTACATCAATAGCCATTACATATTTTTTAGTGAATAAGTGCAACTTTGAGGCTTTTTGAAGGCCCAAGATACAGGTTGCCCCGTGAAACTACATTGCTCCTGTGGTTTAAAGTTCTATATTGATCTTATTGCTCTACTTATTACTCTTAAAGTTGCAGGCTTTGCCTCTGATGCTGACTCAGTGCATTAATAGCAGAGGACGTGGACTTTTCCCTTTGACAGTTGGAGGTACTTTGGTATCTATCTGAAAATTTGTGTTTATCCTTTACGTTTTTGGGTCACTTTTCCTTTCGAATTAGCTACCTTCTTCCTACTACTTTCCTCACCACCTCTCACCAAAATTCCTTCTGCTTTATGCATATAATCTATCACCAAAAGTTCTCCAGTAACACAATCGACGTTTGCAGTGCTTATTGGTTTGAAAAGCTCTTCTCTTTTCCTCTGGTTTAACCCTAGATCCATTTACCCTCTAATATTCTCAACTATTGTTGGGTTTCTATTGTTTCCTCCGAGATCCAGGTAAATTATATATTTTGTTTGTCGGAGCTAAATTTTCAGTCTTTGGACCCTAAAACAAACATAAAATTGGGAAGAAAAAATCCAACCTTTGGTTTTGTGTTTTTACAATTTCTCTTTGTTCCTTCTCCATTGTGGTATCGAAGCAAAAATTCAGTCTTTATAGAAGCACAACATGGGGATATAACACCTGAGATCATCTTTCAACTTTTATTTCCAATTGTGGCTTTGCATTTAAAATTATTTTCTGCTGTTGCAATTTTAGCTTTACATGAAGAAGTAAAATGTTGTTAACAATATATAGCTGTCTTTAATTATATCCCTACAGTTGCAAGGTAATTACTTCGTTAAAATAGAATACTTAATCTATCTTTAGCATGCTTAGTAGCTATATTAGCAGATACTGTGCTGCTGCTTTGATATGATGAAAAGAGGAGGACCAAATTTTTGTTGCTGCTATCTAATGTATTAACTGTGAAATTCATTACTTCTCAAAATCATGTTGTCCGCTGCATTTGGGATCAATTTTTTGGTTACCTTGGGTTGATATATCTACTCTTTCATATTTTTTGGGATAGAACAGCATCGTAAATAGAGTGATATAGTAATATATGTAGCTAGGTAGATAGTCAAGAGAAAAATATCTTTGTGATTGAAATGAGTAATTGAAGTTACATTCATCAACTGTGGAATAGTTAACTTTTATACACGTCTAAATAGGATATTTTTTATCCAGTAAGTTAACCAAAATTTTCTTCGCTTATATCGTGAACATATAGCTAGGTAGATAGTCAAGAGAAAAATATCTTTGTGATTGAAATGAGTAATTGAAGTTACATTCATCAACTGTGGAATAGTTAACTTTTATACACGTCTAAATAGGATATTTTTTATCCAGTAAGTTAACCAAAATTTTCTTCGCTTATATCGTGAACATATTAATTTCTGGTTGGCCAGGTTCCCAGAAAAAAGATACTTCTACGGCGACATCGAACATTCTCTTGATTGGATATAGAAGGTCCATGTAGAGCTTTCTACTTGATTTGATGTACCTTTCAACACATTGAGACCTCAACTTCTGTCAAAAGATTCTACTTCTTATTTCAATCTGCTTACTTTTGTGTACATTTTATTTGTAAGTTTTGGTTTGATTTATGTGAAACTTTCACAGATGAAATTACCAAGATGTCTAGGACGAGTAAAAATGTGGATTCAATATGCTGGCAAGAAAAAGGAAAACGCCAATGCTCCGAAGAAAGTGGTACCAAAATAAAACAAAGACGTCGTGAAATATATAGGGCGACATCAGATGACAGAAGAGAACTGAACTTATTGCAGCGACGATCGACATATCTTCGTTCTAGAACACAAAATCCAATCAGTAGTTCCACTGAAGTATCAACTTTTTATCAGTTTAATGGAAAGTTTGCTGAACAAACAGTTGCTGTAAGAGGAGGCTCATCTTCTATTTTGTGAACAAGTTTGTCAACTAAGATTTTGTTATCCTGAATTGAACTATGAGACATTAAATATTTACATATTTAATACATTCATAACACCCTTTTTTGTCTTAGAATATATCTCCACAGTTCAGGATTCCCCTGTTTCTAATAATGTCAAAGATGTACGTGATAGCTCCTGTACATTTGAAGTTGGTAAGTGTGGAAGTATGGTTTTCAAATTTGTAGAATATTTAAACAGCCTGACTTATATGCTTAATTCCTTATATCTTAGGATCCACATCGGGAACATGCGCTGAACAGAATGGTATTACTATGCATAACACTGCAACTAAAGGTTTGATTTCTTATAGCTTTAAAGTCATTTCCATCATTTATTTTTCGCGGTTGATATTTTTTCCCTTTGGTTGACCCAAAAAAACGCAGGTCGTAGATCTAAAAAATTGGGTCAGTGGAACACTATTGACTTGCCCAATAGCCCTTATAGACTGAAAATTGTACCGAATTATAAATTTTGTAGAGCCAAAAGATTTCAATATGAATCACCGGGATTTTGCTGTGATAATGGATCAGTGAAATTGATTCACTATGGACTACCTGCTCAACTCCTAAATCTTTATTTAGGAAACTCTGAGGAGTCCAAATATTTTCGCACTTATGTTAGATTGTATAATAATATATTTGCATTTACTTCTCTTGGAGTGAATTATGACAGAGATTTAGCAAGAAGAAATTGTGGTATTTATACGTTTAGAGTTCAAGGGAAAATGTGTCATTTTATAAATGACCTCCTGCCTTCGAGTCAACCAGCCAAAAATCTACAATTGTATTTCTATGATACTGATAATGAACTAGCAAATCTGATGGCATTCTCTGACAAGCTTAACGAATCAGTTATCAGGACTTTGATGGACACATTAAAAGTTAATCCATACTCTATCTTTTTGAAATCTTTAACAGATATCCCAGAATTATCAAACTTCTACATTGCACTTAAGTCTGACTCTGGTTTAGATCAAAGAACATATAACTTACCAACATCATCTGAAATAGCAGCAATATGGATAGAAGATGGAAGTAGTTCTAATATTTCTCTACCACATATTCGAATTTATACACATAGTAATAAAAGCCAATTGGTAAATTATTACTATGGTTGTTATGATCCATTGCAGTATCCATTGCTATTTCCTTATGGACAAAACGGATGGCACTGTGGTATTAAAAAGATTATTCGAACGGATAATACTATTAGCCACAGAACTTATTGTGAAAATGAACAGCTACCAAGTATATAAAACATGTGTTCAATTGACATGCTACTTGACATGGAAGCAGAACTTCTGGAAAAAAAGAAACGAAAAAGAAATACTGTGTCATGCCGTGAATATTATTGTTACAAGCTCCAAATGAGGGATGGCGAAGAAAATGGAGTTTTACATGCTGGAAGAGTATTCCAACAATACTCAGTTGACGAATTCATCAAGCTTGAGACTCAAAGGTTAGATTTCTATTCATTTAATCAAGATTTATTTCGAATTGATGCGTTAGCGGGGATTCTTGATGTTCTAAGACATGGTGAGCGAGAGGCATGCAACATAGGCAGACAAAGTTTTTTTACTGCAAGTTTTATAGGAGGTCCTAGAGATATGCGCCAACGATATATGGACGTTATTGCGTTGGTGCAAAATTTTGGGAAACCTGATAGATTTTTAACAATGACATGTAATCCATCATGGCCAGAAATAGAAGAACATTTATTGGTAACAGATGAGGTACAAAATAGACCCGATTTAATTATTCGAGTGTTTAGAGCTAAGGTAGAGGAGATGAAAAGAGATATACCGAAGAGAAATATATTTGGAAAAGTTGCTGCTTTTGTGTACACTATTGAAATTCAAAAGCGCGGTCTTCCACATGCTCATTTTCTTATCATACTCAATAACGAATATAAATTGTTAACTCCGGAAGCTTATGATAAATTTGTTTGTGCTGAACTGCCCGAATATGATAAGAATGACTACCTGTATTCACTTGTTACTAATCATATGATGCATGGACCTTGTGGTAGCTTAAATCCTAAATGTCCTTGTATGAAGAACAGAGAATATTGTAAGTTCAAATATCCAAAAGAATTTGCTGATCATACATATAAGGGGAAAAATGGATACCCAATTTATAGAAGGCGAAATAACGGTAAATTTGCAAAAATTAGAAGTCAATTTCTTGACAATTCATGGGTCGTTCCTTATAATCCATATCTACTGACCAAATTTAACTACCATATTAATGTCGAGGTTTGTTCTGATATTAAAGTTGTTAAATACCTTTATAAATATATTTGTAAGGGACATGATAAAATTGCCTTTTTCGTCCATGCTGATGATCCAAATATTGAAATAGATGAGATCAAATAATATCAATCTGCTAGATGGGTTTCTCCACCGGAGGCAACTTGGCGTTTATTTGATTTTCCCATTAGCGAAATGACTCCATCTGTTTACCATCTTCAGTTACATCTTGATGGACAACAATTTATCTCTTTTAAAAGCACACAGACGATAAATTCAATTGTGAATAACCCCATGATCAGAAAAACCATGTTGACAGAGTTCTTTGTGATGAATAGAGAAAATAAGGATGCACAGAAGTTAAATTTACTCTACAAGGAATTTCCAGAATACTTTGTATGGTCCAAACAATATAGAATGTGGACATGTCGAAAGCAAGGTGCTGTTATTGGACGTATAGTCACATGTCATCCAATAGAAAGAGAAAGGTACTATCTTAGATTGTTATTAATGAACATTAGAGGACCAAAATCATACCAACATTTGCTAACCGTAAATGGAGTATGTTGCAGTACATTTAGAGAAGCAGCAGAAAAGCGAGGCTTATTACAATGTGACAATAACTTAGTTGATTGTATGTCAGAAGCGGTAAGATATCAGATGCCTTATAGTTTGAGACGTTTAATTACCACACTTCTTGTATATTATAATCCTGCTAACCCAAAAGAACTTTGGAATCAATTTGAAGATTCTATGTGCGAAGACTTCAAGATTTTGCCAAACTTAAATCCAAAACAGATTCGTCATATGGCCTTAAACCATATTAATGATATTCTGCATTCAATGGGTCGTGACATAAATGAATTTACACTCACACCAGAAATAATTTTAGTTTCTTCTGCTGCTAGGGAGGCTCAAGATTCTCATTTTGAAAGAAATATAATTGTTAGAGAAGAGGATTTGTTACTAGAAACAAAATTGAACGATGATCAGCGAAAAGCATATGATACAATCCTTGATAGAATATTTAAGAATAAGTGTGGAGCTTTTTTTATTAATGGTCCCGGAGGAACTGGTAAAATATTTTTGTATCGCGCATTATTGGCTACTGTACGTTCAAAAGGATTCGTAGCTCTAGCAACAGCAACATCTGGTGTCGCAACTTCAATTCTTCCAGGAGGACAAACTGCTCACTCCCGTTTTAAATTTCCGATTGATATTGATGAAAATATCTCATGTAATATCAGTAAGCAAAGTTCACTTGCATCATTGATACGAGATGCCAAACTAATCATGTGGGACGAAGTGTCTATGGCCAAAAAACAGCTGATAGAAGCTTTTGATTTACTAATGAAAGATCTAATGGATACAAAGACACTCTTTGGTGGAAAAGTTGTCGTCTTTGGTGGTGATTTTAGACAAACTCTTCCAGTTGTTCGGAGTGGCAAAAAGGAAGATTTCATACGAGAAAGTTTATTGTGTTTTGAAATTTGGAACCAACTTGAAAAATTGCGATTATCAGTAAACATGCGAGCAAGAACAGATCCTGCTTTCTACGACTATTTGATGCGAATAGGGAGCGAAAAAGAAAAACTAAATTCTCAAGGTAAGATTGAAATTCTTGATTGTTTCATTGTTCCTTTTATAAGTGAAAAGAATCATTGAATCTGTTATTTAGAATTACCTATCCAGATTTGTATACATCTACTTGTGATATGTCTTCGACAAATTCTCGTGTTATTTTAACAACAAAAAATGATTTTGTTGACGAAATAAATGATATGCTCACAACCCAATTTTCGGGTGTATCTAGAACATATGTAGCGTTTGATAAAACTATTGAAACAACTGATCAAAGTCAATATGAAGATTTTTTGCATACTTTACACCCAGCTGGCTTACCTCCATATAGATTAACCGTGAAAATAAATTGTCCCATTATTTTGCTACGAAATTTAAACCCCTGCGAAGGTTTATGTAATGGAACACGACTTATATGCTGTAATTTTGAGAGACATGTGATAAGCGCAAAAATTGCAAGTGGTGATTCAAAAAACACGCACGTATTTATTCCGAGAATACCATTGTTGTCTTCACAAGATTAAAAACTACTTATTCCTTTCAAAAGAACACAATTTCCGATTAGATTATGTTTTGATATGACTATTAATAAAGCTCAAGGTCAGACATTAGATTTTGTTGGAATTTATTTACGAGATCCTATTTTTTCACATGGTCAGCTTTATGTTGCTTTATCGCGAGCAAAAAACTCAGGTGTAGTGAAAATGTTGATCCGACCGCCATTACCTGATAGCAACGACGATCGTACAACACAAAATATAGTATATGATGAAATCATCGAAGCGTCCCTCTTGTGAATTGACAGTTATACTATGAGCAGTCATTTGTTTGAGATTTGACCTACAACTAATCAATATTCTGCAAATATTTGATCCTCAACGCTTTTAAAGTTAAGTTATTATCATTTAGATGCTTATGAGATTTCTCTCCATCTTGAATCCTTACATACAGATTCTGAAGTTGTAATATTGCTTGGACAGAGCATCAGCTGTCAGGTAAATGATTTTCCTCTTGAATAGATGCATCTAATACTTGAAACCTTGTAATTATGAATACGAATACAAAAGGCTCAATAAACATTGATGATGAGACGTTATTCTATTATTTTATATTATTTTTTCCTTCACATAAAAAACTGCCTTCTGTGTTCTGTTGGAAATTTTTTGGAAGCCGGAACAGCAAGAGGAGAATGTGAAAGGAGCAGAAGAGAAGTGGACAATTACAAACATAAAATAGAAACAACAGGATTAGTGTTTCACATGTCTACGAACTCGATATGCTCTGTTTTTGGTCCTTTTAGTTTTGTCAATAATTGCTTTCTGTTATTCTTTTGGTAAAATTGTTTTCACCTTCCCTATTTGTTTCAATTTGATTTTTACTTCTCATTCAATTGATGATCAATTGCTTTGTACGTGCCTTAGACTACTGTTGCACGAACAGATACCATACATCATGCAGAGATGTAAAGATCTATTTGATTGATCACGAGAATTAGACGACGCAATTCATCGAAACTTGCTGACTCTAATATGATGGTATATTGATAACTACTGCCAAAGAAATTGTCTGAATTAGTAACATGCGCTTATTTCTAAGGATTCTATAAACAGTTGAAGCGGTTATTTTTTATTGAATTTTATTCTTGTGGATAATGATAGGTGTTATTACATCAGGTGTAGGCTAGGCTAGAAGCTGAAACAGTTAAAAAAGCGAAAATTGCAACACCCGAAGCTAAGAGGAAAGCAGAAAAAGAAGTTGCAGCTGCCACGGAGAAGATGGAATCTCAGTCATTGATGAATACTCCTCCGAAAGCTAGCAACGTTCAAAAGGAAGCCATTAGATAACTTGTAAAACCCGTACCTGATGGACAAAAACATTTGGCAGGTATATCTCACTGTATAATCTTAGTGACCGAGTGGAAATGGAGATTTGAACTTGTAAAACCCACACTTTAAGTTTCTCTCAAGCATTTCAAATAAATATTAACTTAAAGGAAACACTCCAGGAAAATATATTTCTGAAAATATTCTCAACTGGGATGAAAATATTGCACTTAATGTCTCTCATGAACATACATACATCTTTTCCTGCCACAGAATAAGTTAAATATTAACATTGATCAAATTTCTGTATTCTTTTTTATTTAAATCATCTCTTTACCAGTGCAACTCTTGGAGCAAATAGTTATGGTTCAATTTTTAAGTCTTCTAGGACATCATTTTATTCATTGTGCAGGCCATCTCTCTATGGCACAATCTAGATTTGGTTAGGTTATTCACTTAGGTCCTATTTCTGCAACAAATGTACAACTCTCCACACCATGTAGTTCTACTTATTTATTTACCACTGGTTTATCACATTGAAAAGTTGGCTTCCAAAAATGTATTACCACCATAGCTTGAAGCTTGAAGCTTGAAGCTTGAAGCTAATAGTTTACATTTAGGAATTAGTCATTAAGCTACATCAATAACTTCCAGATTCATTGTGCTTTAGCATTGACATATCAGGTTATTTTCTTCTTCACTTTTCTCTTTTAGATGGAATATATGACAAGTCAAAATTTGGTTGTATTTGCATTTATTTTAACAGTGGAGTTCTTGCTATATGTCTTGATAAGAAAATGATAAACTATTTAATTGTCATGTTTCATTCTATATCATATAGTACTTTCCGAATATTACACACTTGTTCATTGCATTACACTTCACCTGTTTAGCTGACAGTAGCTAACTCACAGGTTTAGGTGACAATATACGCATCTGTTCATTGCATTACACTTCACTGTCACTTTATTGTGCTGATCCATGTGCTCACCTTTTCATTCCAAGACAGCTCCGAGAACTTGTTTCTTCTCTTGCATAGGTACCATCATTGGAACACCACAATGAAGTTAAGGGAGAGAGTATGGATCTAATTAGATATATTGACAGTAACTTTGAAGGACCTTCACTTTTCCCAGATGTAAGTTTCTGATAAGATTTTCTTTGAGATTTTCCTACTTTGCCATCTCACAACTTGTGTGCTCACTACTATAGGATCCTTCCAAGAGAAAATGTTCTCCCACTTTGACTCCTTTTACAAAGTTGTAATTTCATCTTTCAAGGAAGACACAGTAACTGATGCAAGTAAGTTTTAACCCCTTTAGAATCACATACTTGCTTTGACATAGAAGCTTTAAGTCTGAGATGTGTTGTTCGTATAGTTGCAGCTTTTGATTCCTCAAACAGTCCATACTACTACTCTTTCTCCAAATTTTCACGACTTTCTCAACTCCTCTTCAATTTTCCTTAGTTTCTTCTGCTCTTTTCTCTTGCGGTTCAGTTTATGTACTTCGCCAAAGTAGTTATTGGTTAGTTATCTTCTCCCCCCGGATTTTCGCTTCCTCCAGCCCAACTTTTGTGTATTTCCTTGAGAATAAGGGCCTTTGTTGTATACTATGTGTTTGAGAACAATTCTTTAAGGAATTAGACTTTCTAATTGATTTCTATTATTGTCTTTGGATTTAATTTCTTGGTTTGCTCGGATAAAGAATAATCTGATGATTTTGAATTGAGTAATTTTGATTGGCATTCTATTACTTAAAGTCCCGTGTACTAACTCTGAACAATTGAATGCAAAACAACTTAATTACTAGCTTGAAGATAATATACTGGTAAGCTACCGTTTATTTTTTTCTTGCTTGTAGTATATCCAAATTACTGATGATGTTTTTTTCCTTGCTTGTAATATATATATATACCAAAGATGATAAAATTTTCTTTGTGTTTACTGGCAGTTGTAAACATGGGTAAGATAATGCTACAATATGTCTCTAATAAGGAAATTGAGGAGCTTATGCCTGACCTTATAAAAATAAGATTCACTTTTGTGTGTTGCACTTGTCTTTTAGTCTTTCGGGGTTATGAATGTTATACGCTGCAGAGGCTTTAGAAGACAAGTCAATAACTATTCATTTTGATAATTTGTATTACGCACATGTGTTAATGCAACATTTTTTACTTCTGCATTTTTTAGAAAAGCTTATTGTCTCGGCCGCAAGGAAAAAACATTCTGCTTCCTAAGAACGCGAAAACTATTAGGGACCTAATACAACTGATAGAATTGCAGCAACAAGAAGAACTACATCTTGATTTACAAACCCACATTGTATATTTTTTTATTAGTTTCATTAATTAGTTTTCAAACATTTTGAATCAGACTGTATAGGTTTTGTTAAACTTTGCTTCACTCTTTGTAAACAAGAGTTCTTTATGTTAAATAGAAGGACCATTCGATTTATTAAGGGGCATAGCGGCACCCTCGCCCGGCCGCCATTTATTTGGACCTAGCAGGAGACGGGCGGGCCGTGCCTGAATTCAGACCGGACCAATGAATAAGGTTCTTGGGCCCGGGCATTGCCCGGGCTACCGCCAACTAGTTTTTAGAGGAAATAACACTAAATGCCTATTACTCCCAAACTATTTACCCGGATTTGCCCATTTGGAAATTAATTACACTTCCTACCTAGGCAATCTAAATTTATTACCCGTAAATTTACCTGGAGCGTGAGGGAGCAATTGAAAATGCAATTCATTTTAGTAAGGGCGGGTTTGCTTCATCGTGAAAGAAGACAAGTTAACAGTCTTCTTTGGATACTACAAATTGGGAAAATTCGTGGAGTCAACTCTTATTATTGCTTGGTTTCCAAGCCTAAATCATGTGAGGAGTTTCTGGTAAGAGCTGACACAACCATGCACACACATACGCGTCAGACAAATCTTAAATCAGCACGTGTTTCGTTCTATTTATTCTATGATTTGATCTCCAAGACTTCTGACTTCTGCAAAAATTTTAATCTGCTATTTAAAGACCTTGAAGCTTTGAAACTCATAAATTGGATTTGTTGAGTTTGTGGTTATTTTGATCAGATTCTGACTGAGTATGTTTGAAATGTTAATTGAGGATGTGGCTATATTCCGAGTCAATTTGGTGGAGATTTTAAAGTAGATTTTTAAATCTTGGATTGAAATTGAGTTGAACGCCAAAGAAATTAGTTGAACCAGAGAAGAAGACGAATTTGTATTGTATACCCAAATAGTATACAAATATACCATTTTAGTATATAATTCATTCCAACTATATACCCTATTAGTATAGCTATATACTATATTGGTATCATATGCTAGTTGAATTATTTTTTGGTTGTATTAGCTGCATTTAATTGGTACAATATTTAATTTTTTTTTAATAATAATAATAATATAGTACAATATCTTGAAATACCTTATTATATTAATATGTGGTACACTATTTTTTTTATTTGAACCAGAGAAGAAGACGAATTTGTATTGTATACCCAAATAATATACAAATATACCATTTTAGTATACAATTCATTCCAACTATATAACCATATTAGTATAGCTATATACTATATTGGTATCATATGGTAGTTGAATTGTTTTTTGATTGTATTAGCTGCATTTAATTGGTACAATATTTGATTTTCTTTTAATAATAATAATGTAGTACAATATCTTGAAATACCTTATTATATCAATATGTGGTACACTAATTTTTTTATTTTTCTCTTTATGCATGTGTGTTATGTAATAGTAGTATAATCATATAGTTGCCGGAAATTAACTAGTAAAACTGTATACCATGTTGGTATAGTTATTTGCCATATTGGTATCATATGGTAGTTTGAACATTGTTTTGGTTGTTTTAGCTGCATTTTAAGTGAATTCTATTATGAAATTATTTATATCAACATGAGTTGCAATAATGCTGGAATTTTTGTGTGCCGATGGACATAAATTATGTGTATTAATAGTTTTTATAGTTATAGGCAATTGTTGGAACGACTTCATACAACTATATACCCTCTTAGTATGTGAAATGAGCAAGTTATTTTGCGAATATTTAACTTGCAATACGAGCATGTAATTTTCTCATACTTTTATTGCGTCCTTTAATGTTTTGGTAGAGTAGTATAGTCGCAGATAGTTGTAACAATATTCTAGAGAAATTATATGCTCTGTTGGTATACATATATACCATATTGGTATCACATGGTACTAGAAGTATTTTTCGCTACTTATACTTTTGTTCTATTTTTTAATATTTTATTATTATTTTTTATTCTAACTAGTATATATGGAGATTTGATTGCCGTAGATTATATTTTCTTACTCTATAACTCGTTGTATTACTGCTAATGGTAGAGTGTGTATTGATATTTATAGGGAAGGAGATCAAGGTTTGCATGGCAATCACGTGTTGATTCTTAGAATCTGATTATGTAATTTATGGTGCTCAACAGCAGTCAATGTGATATTCAGTGTATTAGATCAAGTGACAACTGATATTATTTCAGTTTAATAATTGAATTTAAAAAATGAGAAAGAAAAATAAAATAAAAGGTATATTGTACTAGTTATATTAAAAAAAGGTGAACAAATATTTACTATATCAATTATTTTTCTTATTGTATAAAAAAGGAATGATAAAAAATAGTGAAAACAGTAAATGAAATTAGATTATGAAGAGAAAAAGAATATAAAAAAACGAAGTTAAATGAAAAGAAAAAAAGAAAAAAGGAAAAAATAAGAAGAAAATAGAGAAAAAGAAAAGACAGAAAGAAA